GGGGGTCTCACCACCAGGTGCACGGGGGGGAGCCCCCTCAGCAGCGAGTCCGGGGCCAGCAGGGGGGACATGAAGGGGTCCCGGGGGGGTTTTGGGGGAATTTCCCCAAAAATCGCGGGGGGGCCCTCGCTCCGCAGGGGCCGAAATCCTTCGGGGTACCCCAAAAATTTGGGGGGGTCCTCGAGGGAGTCTTCGAGGGGGTCTTCGAGGGGGTCTTCGGGGGGGTCCTCAGCCCCTCCCCCGTCCGAGTTTGGGGCTGGCTCTGGAAAAAAAAACATTTAAAGTTTGGGTAAAATTGGGGGAAAAAACTTAAAAAGTAGAAAAAAAACCCCAAAAAATTGTCTAAAATTGTCTCTAAAAATTCAGCTCAAAATCGTCCAAAATTGTATAAAAATTCCCCCAAAAATGCCACAAAAATTGAGCCCAAATCCCCCCAAAAATCCACAAAAATTGAGCCCAAAATTCCAGAAAAATTCCACAAAATTGAGCTCAAAATCCCTCAAAAATTCCACAAAAATTGAGCCCAAAATCCCCCAAAAATCCACAAAAATTGAGCTCAAAATCCCTCAAAAATTCCAGGGGGTCCTCGAGGGAGTCTTCGAGGGGGTCTTCGAGGGGGTCTTCGGGGGGGTCCTCAGCCCCTCCCCCGTCCGAGTTTGGGGCTGGCTCTGGAAAAAAAAAAAATTAAAGTTTGGGTAAAATTGGAGGAAAAACCTTAAAAAATAGAAAAAAACCCCCAAAAAATTGTCTAAAATTGTCTCTAAAAATTCAGCTCAAAATCGTCCAAAATTGTATAAAATCACCCCAAAATTCCACAAAAATTGAGCCCAAAATACCCCCAAAAATACACAAAAATTGAGCCCAAAATTCCAGAAAAATTCCACAAAATTGAGCTCAAAATCCCTCAAAAAAATGCCACAAAAATTGAGCCCAAATCCCCCCAAAAATCCACAAAAATTGAGCCCAAAATTCCAGAAAAATTCCACAAAATTGAGCTCAAAATCCCTCAAAAATTCCACAAAAATTGAGCCCAAAATCCCCCAAAAATCCACAAAAATTGAGCTCAAAATCCCTCAAAAATTCCACAAAAATTGAGCCCAAAATCCCCCAAAAATCCACAAAAATTGAGCTCAAAATCCCTCAAAAATTCCATAAAAATTGAGCACAAAAGCCCTCAAAAATTCCACAAAATTGAGCCCAAATCCCCCCAAAAATCCACAAAAATTGAGCCCAAAATTCCAGAAAAATTGAGCCCCAAATCCCCCCAAAATTTGGCTCAAAATCCCTCAAAAATCCCCCAAAATTGACCTCAAAAATTCACCAAAATTAACTCAAAATCCCCCCAAAAATCCACAAAAATTGAGCCCAAAATCCCCCCAAAAATCGACCAAAATTGAGCCCAAAATCCACAAAAATTGACCCAAAAATCCCCAAAATTGAGCTCAAAATCCCCCAAAAGTTCACCAAAATTAACTCAAAATCCCCCCAAAAATCCACAAAAATTGAGCCCAAAATTCCAGAAAAATTCCCCAAAATTGAGCCCAAAATCCCCCCAAAAATCGACCAAAATTGACCCCAAAATCCCCCCAAATTTCCCCAAAATTGACCTCAAAATGCCCCCAAAAATCCACAAAAATGGATCCCAAATTCCCCCAAAAAACAAAAAAAATTCCCCCAAAAATCCTAAAAAAAATCCCCCAAAATTTTTGGGATCCACCCAAACCCAAAACCCGAATTTTGGGGACCCCTCCCCCAATTTCCTGACCCCTCCCCCAATTTTTTGACCCATCCCCAATTTTTGACCCCTCCCCCAATTGTGGGACCCCTCCCCAATTTTTTTGACCCCTCCCAATTTTGGGGACCCCTCCCCAATTTT